ACTCGCGACCCTCAGATTGCGAGTCGAGCGCCTTATCCACCTGGCCGCCACCAAAGGGCGTGATACTAGAACAGCGTTGCTAGGAGCGGGGTGACACCATATGATTATGTCATCAGCATTATTTATTAATTTATTTTTGAGCGGCGAAAGTTGTCTGATACCAGAGGGCGCGTTGCAAGGAGAAGGGTTACATCATGTGATTCCTTCATCAACATTATAGTTTTTCACTTCTATATGCTAATGTTTGAGCGAGACAGGTGTTTTCCAGTAAATAAATTCAAAATAGTAATTATAATTATATTCTATAATGAGTTTTTTTTTTATTTTATATTTCTCATAGTCTCTGCGGACCGTTGAGCCGATGGCTCTGCCATCGTTTCTAAAGCTGTTTCTTACCAACCCACTTGACAGCCTTCCCTCTTTGAAAGGACGAGCATGTTTGGTGTGACGCGACCCTCAGATTGCGAGTCGAACGCCTTAACCACCTGGCCATGCCGGGCCTATTATAATGAGTAAAGGATTCAAACATATCACATATTTTACATGTTCATATCGATTATATTTTCACTTATATAAAATCCCAATATGTTTGAGGCAGATAATATTGATATACTAACGATACTAAAACAGATATTAACAGTATGTGTCTTGCAAAGGCGGATGGTGTTGTTTATACATTTCATTTTATACTTTCAGTACATAGACTAACAACAATATTAGATCATACTTTTGTTACTAAGCAACATGACATAAAAGCCATTGTTGGAACGTATTGTTACCAAAACACACTGGCTTTTCTATATACAGAAATCCCTCGATTAGTGCGGTTAATGTGTTCTTTAAAAAAGCCGCACTAATCGAATATAATAACCTATTAGAAGTCATGTAATTCGTACCTCAATTTTCATTCTCATTCACAATTAATTTGTATTTTGCGTTTTTTTTAATCAAAGTATAGGTATATAAGATTTTTATTGATTTATAAATCGTATTTCAAAAATATCGAACAAATAACAAGGCTGACAAAGTTTTATTACTTTTTTGTTCAAGCTTGTC